TTGGCTGTCTTTTTGTCTTATTGACTGTGTCTTTTGCCCTGAGCACTACTGTGGGGGTTGGGTCTTTTTAATTTGTGATTCACAAATCTATTGGCTATTTGTTTAAAATGTACACATCATTTTTATAAACATAAACTTTTAGAAATATTGGGAGTACTTGACAATTTCTGAGTGACAGCTGACAGTATCTTACATTTGATTAATGATGGGCATTGACCCATCTGAACCCACACCAGCGTTAATACCACAATCAAGTTCACTGGTTCAGGGGAACTACCACCCCCATAAACACACAGTGCAACAGTACCGACCACTTAGCAAGCACAGGCACACATGCCGGGCACACACTGAGCCCTAACTCAGCCCTCCAAGAATGTGGGGATCCCCTTTATCAGTATCTAATCTCTCTTTCCCAATCCATGCCTTCAGTGAGAGCAGCCTCAGTCCATGGACATTTGTTACAGTGCACATTTAAATCTATTTCTACCAAGTTCAAAGCTACACTTGGACTTTTTTGCTTTCATTCCCATTTTCAGTCTTTTTTTAAAAATGATTTTCTTTCTTTCCCATCTCCATATTCTGTATACCATGTCCTTTTTTTAGTGCTTCTCTTCAAAATGTTATCATCCATATGAAGTCAGATGCTAATTGTCATCATACTCCTGACTTACAGGAGACTCATGGGATGTTTAACTATGGTTCAGGTGATATATTTCTGTCTGACTTTTAACATTCACTCTACAACTTAGGTAGTACTCATTTAATCACTCATCTTTCACTGTGCCTACATCTGGCCTTTCCTCATGATCTCACCTTTCTTCTAGGATCACTTGACTCCATCTGATAGCACATCCTATAAAAATTTCCTTTAATGAAGCTCTTTGGCTGTTAATTCTTTTGCTCTCTGTATGTAGTTTAACCAGGAAAGAATACCCAAGCTGACATACCCTCTGCATTTTGAAGGTATTATCTCGTTGTGTATTAGCTAGTATTTCTGTTGAGGAGTTAACTGGTATAATTATTGCTTCTCATAGAATAATTAACTGGGAGCTGTGGGAGCTTGAATGAGAATGTCCCCTACAGACTCAGATGTCTGAATGCTTGGTCCCCAGTTAGCGGCACTGTTTGGGAAGGTTTAAGAGGTGCAGCCCTGCTGGAGGAGATATGTCACTAGGCTATGAAGTTTTAAAGCCACATGCCGGTCCATTTTTGCTTGTGGTTTAAGAGGTAAGTCCTCAGCATTCTGCTCCAGCCTGCGCTGCCATGCTTTCTTGCCATGATGGATGGACTCTGACCCACCCTGGAACCACAAATCCAAACCAACCCTTCCTTCTAATAAGTTGCCTTGGCCATGGTGTTGTATCACAGAAATGGCAAAGTAGTGAATACAGAAGTAATGAGGCTTCGTCAGCTCCGATATACCAGGTTTCTTCTACCTAAGCAACTGAGACCCACTTAATTCAAACAGCTACATCCCAGGCTAATTAGAAACCAGCAACTAACCTCTAGAAACCGCCCACTACTTAAGCTCACCCAATCAAAAACTGCCCACAAAGCCCTTGCTAGGGACTTCCCTCTGGAATGATCCAAATATGACTACTGATCTATGCTAAACTTTGGCTTGCTCACACTTCCTCCTTACAAGGCCTTCCTTCTGGCAGCCCTTCACCAGGGCCCAGAACTACTGGCAATCTGGAGCCATTTGCTCATGAAGGTGTAACAGGTGCTTACACACTTGAGCACACCTGTAGCGTGAATCTTAAATGGTCTTATTAATAGAAACAAACCTGGAGCCAGGTATTGGGGGTGAATGCTGGAAGATCAGAGAAGCAGAACAAGCCACAGCCACCTCACCTTGCAAATGCCTCAGCTGATCCTGTTTCCTCAGACTGGAAGTCTCTGAGTCCTCATCCAGAATGAATCTCAGCTGAACTGTTGCTCAAAAGCCTAAAAGCTTAACCAGTTTCTAGTTCCTGGTCCTCATGCCTTATATACCTTTCTGCTTTCTGCCCTGACTTCCTAGGATTAAAGGCTCACTTTCTGGGATTAAAGGCGTGAGTCATCACACCTGGCTGTTTCTAGTATGGCTTTAAACTCACAGAGATCTGGATGGATCTTTGTCTCCAGAAGGCTAGGATTAAAGGTGTGAGTGCCACCTATTTCTGGCCTCTATGTCTAGTGGCTGTTCTGTTCTCTGACTCCAGATAAATTTACTAGGGTACACAATATTTTGGGGAACACAATATCACCACACATACCTCTGCAAGTCAGTTCTTCCTTTCCAACAGTGGTTTCAGGGGTGGAACTCAGGTCGTCAGGCCTAGGTTCTTTTCTGTTTGGCTCATTTTCCCCCTCAAAGTGCAGCCGTTCTTGTCCCCAGTGTGTGTGTGTGTGTGTGTGTGTGTGTGTGTGTAGGCAGTCTCTCCTGTGTGTGTGTGTGTGTGTGTGTGTGTGTGTGTGTGTGTGTGTGTGTGTACAGTCTCTTCTGTTGTTGCTGACCCCCTCCCATAGTCCAGGCTGCCTGGCTTGTGAGCTTCTGGGTGATTCTGTCTTTGCTGCCATCTCCCAGTAGGAGTTCTGGGCTAACAAATGTGAGTTACCTGGAGCTTTTTACTTGCATTCCTGGGATCAAACCCGGGGTCATCAGGCTTGCTCAGCAAGTGCTTTAACAAGCAAGAGCCATCTCCCCAGCCCCAGGATATCTTTTTAAAGCAACTTCTGGGGCCTTTTGTTCTTTTTTTTCTTAAAGAGAGGCTGCATGTAATACAACTTTTTTTAAAAAAAGAAGAGGAACGTTCTAAATATAGAAGACCTAACCCCTGGTGCAGCTGCCCAAAGCATGGCCGTGGTGGCTGACTTTTTTTTTTAATTTCATCCTGAGGTAAAAATATGTGGTTCTAAATGGCCCAGGAAGTGACCACAGAAAACTCTAAACACTCCTACAATGCTCAGTGCCAGGGGAGAGCAGAGGAAAGGGCGACACTGCCCACCTCCCCCCAACCCAGCCTCAGCCAGCTGCTGTAACAAAATGTCCAGTGGATAGCACACCTTCCAGAGAATCTTCTTCGCAGAGTGAAAGAATATATCTATAATCAGACTGGCCCACCATGACACTCTACATACACACTCAGAAGAACGGTTTGTCCTGAGATATGGATGACAAAAATGGAAACAGAGAGATGTTCTATAACCCACAGATAGTCCCAGGTTTTAAATCTAAACTGTCACCATAATTACTGCATAGACAAGAGATGATGCCATGTGTTCTGCCCGGCAGTTAACACCCGTGTTGGCCAGCTTTACTGCACTGCAATGAAATACCTGGGGCAATCGACGTAAAAAGAGGAAAGGTTCCTGGCAGGGTGGTGCACACCTTCAATTCTAGCACTTGAAAGGCAGAGGCAGGTAGACCTCTGTGAGTTGCAGGCCAGCCAGGGCTATGCAGTTAGACTCTGTCTCAACCAAACCAAACTAAACCAACACCATAACAGGCAAAATGAAGGAAAACATTAGTTTGGCCCATAGTTCCTGGCCCT